CTCTTATTTACAGATCATGTTGATATTCTGTTTTGACTTATTACTTCCTCAATGGTATCCATAGCAATAATTAAATAGAGAGTTATGCTGTTGTACTGCTCAGTTAGTAATTTACCTGCATGTACTACTTGCCAACTATTTGTTTATTTGATATGTATATTTATAATATAGATCCCAAAATGGAACTTATGCTATTAAACATTTATTGTAACAGTTGTTTGACTAAATAGGTGTTACAATAAAATAGTGATTACAGGAACTCAATTAGGTAATCTATTTTTAGGTAGATATATATATATATATATACATATGTCGAGGCCTATTAGGTACATACAAAAATGGGTTTATTTTCCATTTTGGTTTAATATTTATAGGCGTTCTTGTAATGACAGAGAACGTAATAATGAAGTAGTATAATTTAATTGGTGGGTTATTATTAATGTATAGCAGTAATATAATAAATAAGACGTATTTTATGTTTCTGAGACCTGAATATTTTTGTATAATATATATGTTGTTTATTCATAATCGCATCACATGAGAACGGCTTGACCGATTTGCCTATTTTTTTTCAAAAGTTCGTCATAAACATAGTCCTGAGGTAGGTATTGCTTGAAATTGTAGTTTTTTTTCATGTTCGACCATAACCATTAATCACTGTAGTAAAAACGTAGTTTTTATTTTATTTCTATTCCGATTTATATAGATTTCATTACGTGCGGGAAAATGTTTGAGTGGCGATGATCAATTCGTGAATTTGACCACTGGTTTATAATAACAAAATATTGTATCAATTATTTAGTTTTGTTAGTTCATCATAATCGTTTCATGAAATCAATTAAATCGTGTTATTTTGTGTCAATAAATACGAATTAACAATATAGGTAAATCACAACTAAATTAACAATACTTACCAAGACTATACATATACAGGTACCTTTATAAATATTTATCTGTATACAAAATTTAATATTGCGTTAATTAGTATTTCACTTAAAAGTTCAAATTACTGAATAAGTCGTAAAAGATGCATCTTTGATTACTTTAATGTGATGTGTTTCAAAATCATATGATTGCAGGTAGTTAATTTAACATGACCTAATTTTTAAAAGCATCTGAAAGAAAATTATATTGTTATGACACACGTTGACCCACAAACATTATGTTTTAATGCGGGATTTGAATATAAATATCTACCTACAGGTCAAATGGAATATAAATAAGTAGGTCACAAGATTGAAATAAAAATACTTCCACGTAACGTAATTGACAAAAATAATAAAAGTTCGAAATCATTTTATAGACCATTACGGTGAAGTACGCGCTTCACGAACTGGTAAATCATAAAATACTTTCAGACATTAAATAAGTCTAGAAAGGACTCGGAAGTGAAAGGCGTCTCCGTTTTGATTTTCGTTAATTTTGCATGTAGGTACATTGTAATTGACTGGCAGTGCTCTGAAAATATCAGTCAATTGAAGCTATTATGAATTCCCACTGCAGTTAAAATCACAGAATATTTCGGATCGGCAGCGGCACGACAGTTGTGGTCTGTCTGACGGTGTACAGAACTGGAACATTTGACCAGCAATAATGACCGTAACATTTTTACACATGAAATGAATGTACTTTGATAATTAAGCTTAAAACTGGATTATGTCGATGAATGTAAATGTGCTTAATGTAATTTGCATTTTGTTGGACGGCTGGCGGAATGTAGTATACATGGTGTCATTTACATAGTAAATGCGCGTGCGGACAACATGAATCGTGACGATGATTATAGAGCTGCATTATATCGTGCACTTAATGCAACAACTAAGCTACGTAATGCCGCAGACAATGGCTTCGTTCTTACAGTGAAAACAGCCGCAAGTAAAGCTGAAAAGATTAATAAGTAATAATAATTATCTTGTAAATGTTATTATCTAAGTTGAGATTTTAAATTTTCTAAAGTTATTTGTTACATCATCATCATACAGGTTAGAAGCAGTGTTGATTTACACAAAATATTCCTCAGCGATCGAAAGCAGTGGTAGTGGTTGCGCGTGTGTGTTGAGGCTATTGCGGTCGGTTTCTCTTCGCACTTGTATCGCGAGATCTCGTCGCCGAGGCGTTCCGAACGCCTTTTTTGGAATAACTCGAGCAAAATTCGACAGAAACTTTTATTTTATTTCGCGCGAGTTGCACTCGAAAATCTGATTTTTATTTTAATGAGCCAGTTTCGCAGCACTGTCTCGCTCGCACTTGTTGTTGCACTGAATAAATAAATGAGTTGCTCTACTTTCTATGAGATCGTTTCTTTGGGCGGTACGATGAGACTTGTCGTGGTTGCATGGAAGTGCGGCTGCATTGTGATCGCTCTTGTGTTGTTCGATGCCGGCATCTCCCCCACCAACTTTGTATGCCGGAATGCCCATCAACACCATTGTTCTTTTACTCGCCGCATAAAAATATAAATCTCTACCTATCAGCTGATATATTTTAGTCACGATTTAAGCTATAAAAATATCAATTTATAAAAGGTACTTTTATCGATCTTCGTGACCAATGAGGTGCTCGAAATGTCTACTAGAGTATTGTCAAATCACATTAATATAACAACTTTTCTAATCTTCTACTGACATTAAAAATACAAAGTCAGTAGATACATATAGTTTTTTCTACATTTGCAAGAAATATTCCTAACTAGATTTTTCTTATTGTTTTGTAGTTCAACAAAAAATAACAATTTAATCAATACTGCACGTAATGCAAATAATGTCTACTCCAATATTTTGCAGGATCACATAATAAAATTTAAGTTGTATAATAAGATAAATTAATTTCAATTTATTTAATAATAATAGCTTTAAATGATTTTGTATTTTATAACTTAATAATTATGATAAAGGTAAGCGAAATGGGTATATTACCTATTGTAGAGCTGAATTATTTCATAAGCAACATTTGTATACTGGGATCAGTATTATGGAACTGAAGGTATATTAAATACCTACTTATATATTTTTCTCGATTCCTATTAATTTTTTATAGAATCTCTTTGATAGTGTCATCAAAGAACAAACATTATATTATTAAATATTTTTTACAAATCAATCTGGTCACAAAAAGAAAAGCATAATATAATGCTATCATTTATTCACATCACATATGACTTTTTAATCTCTGTGCACAAGAGATCTTATTTTTTATCATTATCGCTATATAATGTATAAAATTTGACAACGATAATTTCGGTTCTCTAACTTTTCTAACCGTCAAAATAATGAAAATATTAAAAGAATGAATTTAATAAGATTTTCTATATTTTATCATGTTTCTAAATAACTATTTTGTTATATTTTATAGACTGCTGTACTTTATTTCGATTATGTACTTCATCTCAGGATCGATGCGAAGCCGTACAAAACATATCGATTTAACAAATCGATATGTTGCAATGGCTACTAAACTTGTGGTTTATTAATATGTAGCTGTTCTTGGTTGAAATAAAGAGATAAGAAGCAGTTACTGCATTACGACTAAGTGTTGGCCCGTTGATTACTTGTTACCTACCGGACATGGAAAGGACTTGTTATTAGTGCAATGCACTTGCATGCGTCACTGAGTGAAGGACGCGCTTTGTCTGGATCAGGTCAGGTGGTCGTAAGGCAGGTGAGGGGGCATAGCGGGTGGTGAGCGGGGGGGCTGCGGGGCGGGGACACCTCGAGGCCGCTTCCTGTCGCAGGACTGGTTCTGTGGTTTGCACCACTTCGCTTTGCACCAGTTTCCAACCATGTAACACGAACGACCTCTTTACACGGAGCCGCTATTATGCTATTAAACTTTATGTAGGTACAGTAGGTATCACAGATAGTATCAATATATTTAAAGGTACGAACATTGTTGTGTACCTATGTAGATTTGCACAAAAGCTTTGATATTTTCATTACATGTTATCATTTAATCATCATGTGGATCGTGGGGAACATTAACTTTTATTTATATTTTAGTTGGAGATATAAGTCATATATTTAAGATATATAACATCGTCGATCCTAAAATGTATTAGCTATCATTTACCCTTACATTAAATCAAAATATAGTCATGCATACTGTGATGATTCACAGGTATAAGTTGTCAAGACATTCAACTGTAGTAGTTATCTCAAATGAATGGCACAAAGTTCTACAGGCAGATGACTATTACAGCATTAATGTAATGTTACGTAAACACAATTATTCCTACATATAATATAATACATTTGCTATACAATAAGCAAAGTATCCTCAGAGTTATTGTAGATATGGGCATGTGACGTGACTTCACGCGACGATGCTGCATTACGAGCGGCGATCATCTCCGTTTTATCGAGTAATTTACGCACACTTAGAGATTTCTCTTGAAACCATCCGCATGTTCATTACACCGTACGACCACGTCATAAACTGTATGCATTTAACTATACAATATACGTATAGGCTACCTTTATGAATATGCGATGCATTGTTTCTAGATTTTCGAATACTTTTTGTTTCCCAGATTTCAAATTGCCTATCATTAAACTTTAACAGTTCTGGCATTTTACTTCATATACACTTACAGCTATAATATTGTATTTCGACTTGTCTTCAGCTCTGTTACTGGGAAATTAGAATGTGAAATTAGAATGCGTTAAAAAGGGTGTCAAAAATCAGTTCGCCATGCAAATCACTCTTTTTTATTTTGACTAATTCATTTATAAACATAAACAATATATTTGCAGAACTAAATTTGCTTGGTAAAATACTTTGTAGTAAGTACTATATCTTATTAAATATTTTTGGGAGTAAAATGCGAACGAAGAACTCGTGATTATTTCACATATTAAAATATCATTAATTTCACGTATTAAAAGTACCTGACACAGGCATTTCTATGTTTACTAGGTCATCCCAACACTATATTAATGTAACCGAATTGTTTATTAAAAAAATAAACATTTTACGTTTTAAAAATTTTTGTAATCTTATTCCAGATAACCAAACACCCGTAAGCGGTCGCCTCTAAATTGCGATTACAATATTTAAGGTAAGAACTATAGTATAATATAATTACTATCTTATCTTGATGCTGAAATAACAATACAGAAATGGGGTAAATCTCCATGGTAATATATTAAGTAGGCATTGGATGCGAGCAGCGCAGGACCGATCGTCGTGGAGATCTTTGGGGGAGGCCTATGTCCAGCAGTGGACGTCTTCCGGGCTGCTATGATGATGATGAATATATTAATCACTAATGAAAAGAGATATAAGTTATTTTTTACAGTAAAAACTAATTATTCCTAAAAATATTTATATTCTAACTTAGAAATATGACATAAACAATTTAAAAAAAGAAAAATTAAATTTCAGTTAATTTTATGCCACAGAAACAATAATATAAATATTATTAAATGGCAAAATTCTTGTAAGTAATTAGTTAAATAAAAGTTGATGGATAGAAAATTATTGATACTTTTTAATATAACTGATGCCAATTGTTAATTAATAACAGATATTGACAGAATTATTTGAAATTAATTATAAATCTCTAATTTTAAGAGTTTTGTAAATAATACGGGCTACGTTACGTTAGAAAGAAGATCAAATATTAGCAAGTGTATTATGAATTACAATACCTACATGATATTGGTTTCATATTCTTATTAAAATTAAGTTATAGCGTCTGCAAAACAAAATACATTTTCAGTATAAAAGAATATTTACTGAATATGTTTTTTGTTATATATTAATAATTGTGTTAATCACATAGTTGATCTGAGAGATGACTCACTCCAAAAGTGAGAGTGGTAAAGAGTCACTCCGTCTGAATGCACATTCGCCCACTTACTTGTAACTGAAGATTGTATGGTATGTAATGTAAGGCTTCGCGATTTCTTACTCTTTACTCTTGTATTTTTTGGTAACCACAAAAACAATAACTGTATTTAATGTTATAAATATTACGACAGTATATTTTTGTAGTGCAAGACCCCAGATCATCCTATAATTTACTATTATTATTAGAGGGATTTTTATTTCTTATTTAATTAATAAATTAACTCGAAAAAAGTAAAAACAGGTCAATAGTTGAAATTTGCTATTTAATGATTAATTATGTTATATCAAAATATGTTGCAATGTTTATAAGATGAAAATATATGAATTGAGTAGTCATATTATGAATCGCGAGAACGCGTAAAATATGTACTGTCTAATAAGGAAACAAAGCGTAATAAAATATATTGTACTAGGTATATTAATATGTGTAAATTAATGTTTAACCAAACGAATATTATTAAGAAGACATGACATTATCTTGTATTCTACTCAGCCTGCGGGCTATACAAGTAGGTATGTGGTAGGTACTTCTATAAATACAAGCATCATGCTTACATGATTTTACAATTTTACTTATTGTTAATATAGACGTACAAATACCTTGTAGCCATCAGTCATTTTGAAACGAAATTCTTCAGTGATAATCAATATATGGTCTGGGTAGTAAAACTTAAATGTCATATGTTACTTGGGCGAGATAGCTTCACCTCTGTAATCTAGAGATCATTCAGATATCATTCCGGCCATGATTTGTTGGCGTATACGGCGCTGTGTAAAAGTCAAGGGCGGTGTGAGCTCGCATCAAAAGTGCTTCGGATATAATCGGGACGACGCATATTGATCTTAAAACATCGGAACAATGTCAGTCATACTAAATAAAGATGTCTATTCAAAAGTTCATTGTATTGAAATTCAGTGAAAAACAACCAATCGAATGTATTATTAATGTTTGATTCTCTAGATACTGATATCATTATAGTCATATAGAGATCAGAGGTAGGTAGTGGGTACCACAGACTTGCCTATTTCAGCTGATACAGCTTACTTTATGAGCTGTGTTTGATGGCGACGGTTACCATTTACCATCACGTGGGCCGTCAGCTTGTTTACCATTCATATAACAAAAGTATAATCGTTTAAAAAGAATATATACTGTAATAATATTCAAATAATTAAATACTTCAATACAGATGCGAAAACATTGTTTTTTTTATACAGCATTGTTAAATAACTTATTTCCGTATATATATTATAAAATCTATTTACGTCAAGTACTTCCTTAATTTAAATATATTTGTCGCTTCCTGTGATTTTTAATTCTTTCTATAATGATATAAAATAATAATAATTATTTTATCATCATGTACATATACACGGTAAAATACCATAAAAAATTTATTAAAGTCAGCGGATGTACGTTAATTTGTTATATCTGTTACAAATAAATAAAATGATATAGTCCAAATTTATTGTTGAATTTGAATGGCCTGAGACCAAACGGATTTCCGCCTAATTGTGTCTCGTGCTTATACGCAAAAAATATCGGAGTCATACAAAACGTCAATGTCTGCCGAAATTGTTAAAGTCATGCTTCTAAGACATCTATATATATAACAAATACGTACTAATTAATATCCACATCAATATTATAAATGGAATTGCGAAGCTGTTCTTATCTGTCTGTTATTTACACGATTGAAAGGTTGAACGGAAATTAATAAAACAAGACGTGTAGCTTGTACGGTTCTATCTCTTATCTGAAAAGAAAAAGCAGATAATAAGAATGTAGTAATAACTATTTTACCAATGTTAACTTGCATATTTTAAAGCGAAACAATTTATAAATGTATATTCGTAGGTTAGAAATACAATGGAAACTATGCGATAAGATATAGTGATGTTTCGATACATATTCACTTGAACGTGCGGCGTGGTGTATTGTATTTTGATTGTTTACCGCGCGGCCTCCACTTCGGCAATTTCCGCGTCTTGCCAAACTAAACCGCCTCGTTAAAACTAGCTATGTCTAGGCCGACTGTATCATTTTGTAAAAACACCCGATATAATTTGGATACAAACATCGGTAGTAATTATTTTGTTTTTAATTTAACATACGCCTATTTACTATAAGTCCAAGTACATTATTTATTATTATAATTATATTTTTTATGGCAGGCTTGACTAGACTAAATTTGTATTGTACCCCCTTCGGATATCAGTTTGAATCATACCACTGAAAACACCTGAAATCAATTATATATTAACAAATAATTAATTTCAGGCAATTAATGAATTCTAGTGATACTTAGACGTCATTCATTAGTTATTTTAATGAAGGCGACTAAACCATATCCATCTCAAGCTCTGTAAATTTTTAATACGCTTGGGATATTATAACAGGTAATTAGGGTTTTAAAATATAAAAACATAAGAAAAAAAAATAAACAAATACACCTCCTTATTTATTAATTAGGAAGTAATAAAAGATAAAATATCAAAATAAATCAGTCATACTTATCTCGGTACAAGCAGCGTTGCGTATGAGCAGAGCACTACACTACTCGCATACTAACAAGCTAAAATTATAAATTGACTGCAGCCGTAGAATATGTAAACATACTTTTATCGATAAATTTGTCAGAAATCTAAATATAAATAAATAATTGCACATTTGTTAGGAGTATTGGTTAAGTAAGGTTTTTTCTGAGTCGACATGTTGCAGAACCAGTTTAATTTTTACGAGTTTAGAGTAGGTATCTATAGATACGTGGCCAGCGTTTATACGTTTTATTTGTTAATGTTTATTTGGTTATGTATAGTATTCACATGTTTTGAATGAATGTAACAAAAGTATAGTAAAATTGGTAAATCTCTAATTATATAAATTTACATAAATAATTGAGAGCACATCGAAATTCTATTTTGTGAATAAGATTTCACCATAAACAAGTTTCGTTTAAGCTTTAGAAACTTGGAAGATTTAATTTATATATTAATTTATTTAAAATATTTACAATATAATAATGATAACTGCTATTAAGAAAATAATTATGTATATGTGACACAATTTTACAAATAAAATATTAAACACGCTGCGCTTTTTGACTCAGTCTCGTGGAAATTCCCAATGTCCCTTTTTCACTAGATTTATGAAATGAACCAGCAGTGTATTTATTATCTATAAGAAATTCCCCGTCTTCGAAAATTACTACTTACACTTTATATCCTGGATTATGGTTGCTCTTTACGCTTCTTATGAATACCCAATAATTACCTATTTAAGTTGGGCGAGAGAATTCACTCGTTGATGTCTTTTGTACAACGACCAATTTACGTGGGGCAATCCTATTGTACGCAGCAATTACAAACTTCCTGATATGCTATACGTATGGTTTATCGGATGCTTTATATTTACTACATATAATTATATGCATGTAAATAATGTATTGTATTTTATATTATATACAGGCACTAGGTATGCTGTGATACCACAGATGTGAGTGTGAGTACCAGTGTCCGGGAAACAATATATCCGACGAAAATAGATTTTTTAAATTAGTATTTAGAAACTAAAACTAAGAAATAATAATCGTTATATTTCTCATATTACTGAAATTTAGGTCAGTGATATTTTTATTGTCTAATTTCATACATTGCATGGCACAATATAAAAAATAATATGTAGAATTAAAATAACACTTATTTATATTTATTCTTATTGGAATATTATTCACATTATTATTGTTATTATCTAATACAAAAAAATACACATAATGTAAGTAATTAGTTACAATAAACGTTTTAATACTTATCTTAAAACAATTTATAACAACTTGCAGAAGTAGAAAACCTTCGGGACTATTTCTGCTCGGACTTGATAAATTTTACTAATAACACCACACTTCGTAAATCTCTAAGTTTGACATTTACTTGTACTTGTATCATTTGCACCTTTGAGCCTAGTTAAGTGGCATTTATTTAATGACGTATTATTATAGCTACAGCAGCAACACAAAAGCAGTAAAGCTCAATTAGTATTTTACTGCTTTTGTCTTCGTCGTTATATTTTGTAGTTTCCAATTTAACATACATTTATTGTTAAGTTAGATTCTAAGAAATATTATTATTATACATAAATTATTTATTGATTTAGCTCAGTATGAATAATATTATTATTCATACTGAGCAATATAGCTATCAGTAGAC